TCAGCTGCATCACTTATGAAATTCAACCTTCTGAATAAACCTGTCTCTGGTTCTGAAAGTTTAGTGCCAAGTGCTGGTGTTCTAGTGGCAAAGGCAGGGGACGACTCTGAAATGGACGTAATATAATCCAGACTAGCATCAAGCTGTCGTGTCTCAGATGACACACTGTATGGTGTTTTACAGTTTGAGGTCTTAGTGACACATTGTGAGGATGGTGCCTTAAGATGGGCTTCTGGAACTACCGAGAGGGATCCCATGATAGATTTTGAAAAGTCAGAAGGGGTGAATTTGGAATTTTTCCCCACAAAGGACTTATCACCTAAGTGTGCATTTCCAGACCCACCAGGCTTTTCCCAACCCAGAGTATTGATGCCATGGGATGCTTCTTCAAATGAGTTCAAGCTATTGGAGGAATGAGGTTCTGCATATTATACAGATAATTAACGGAAAACAAAGTAAGAAAAGAATCACATGCTCATCCTATTATTCAACAAAAATTGTTGAAAGTGCAACATGCAAAACAAACAGGAAGTAGACAAAAGATAATTGTTTGAAATCATGAACACTATGAAAGACAAAATTTTAAAAACAGAGTAAAACATCCGAGACAAACTACCATGATAAGACAAAGAGGAGTTAAATTAGCTTCCAAACATTTCCACCGGAAAACATTCCATAGACATGTAACTGTGGCGAATACATACCTTGGTTCATGAAATTCTTGTATAGAAATGAGCCCGATACATCAGTATTCTTTGAGCAGAAACTTCCATCAAAGTCTCCCTGTTTACCCTGCTCCCACTCTGCCAGTCCATTCCACAAGCCACCCCACTGTGCTGTGTACTTTAAATCAGGCGGCCTTTGAGTGTAATCCTTGTGAGAGCAGCCATCCAAGGGAGCAAAATGAGTGGTAGATAGCCAATCATAACTAGTTTGATCAGGAACCACCAAGGGACTATCCCCGTGAATTGTAGGTGACAAATAAGAGGGATAATATGGTTTGGCCTCAACAAAACTAGTTGCAACAGCATCCAAGGATTGATCATATGTAAATGCATTGGATGAAGCGGGTGTAATAGTGTTCAAAGGAGGCAAAGTTGTATTGGGTGGGTCAACAGTCTGCGAGCCTGCATATCTATACGCATTTGATGAAGGCAATGAATTGAACTCTGGGGTAGGGTTGGCAAAGAAGTTGGACCCTGTAATGGGAGGGTGAGAAGGAAGCCAATTGTGCGAAGAAGAATTCAAGGGGGCAACATAAGGTGTCTCGGTCACATCCACAAGTGGGCTTGAAATGGGTTTGGGCACAGACCGATCGACAGTAAAAGGTGGCGCTAAAGCCGATAAACTTGAAGGCGATGATGAATATGGATAAGGTCCTCCATTTCCATACGACCCAAATCCCGTCATTCTTATATTTTGGTTCTAACACAAAAATTAAGTAAATTGATCAAGACCCACTAAGAATTACATCAATTAAGAGCTTTTGAAATAACAATAAGAGTTAAAAAATTCAACAAAAATTAAAAATTAATGAAGAACGCAATATCAAACAACATAAAGATTATAGAATAACAATGAAATTATATCAGGGAAAGATATGATGTTCTGAGAATTGCAAAGTGAGGACGACCGAATCGTCGGTTTTCAGCAATCGCCCAATTACGAAGAGAAAACAAGCAGGAACAAAAGCAGCAAAGCTGCTGCAAAATTTATAAAACGGTAGCATCAAATATATCAATAGCTGTCTTGCTTAACTAAGCCCTACTGCTACAGCAATCAGAAAACCAAACCAAACCCAGATGATTAAATACAACAAAATCCTAAACAAATCTTGGAATTCTTCTATTTCTATTTAAACCACATCAATCCGTTTGGAAATCGTAAGAAATCTGAGATTTTGCATTAATTGAAGAGAAATTCATACCACAACAGTGACGAGTGAAGAGAGAGAGGCAGAGCCAGTGGTGGTGACTGGTGGCAGTGTCCTCTGGGTCTTCACCGTCCAAGAGAAACAAGGAAAGAGAATTTGGGTGAACGTCACTCTGTTTTTAAGTTTTGGCCTTCGGTTTATGCCTATCTGCAAAGAAGCCCATGTAATTGTGCATAAATGATTTACCACCTCATGCTTTTTGACGTTTAGCTTTTCTTCCCCTTTTACAATTTTTATTTTTATTTTTGGTTTTTCTCCTTTTACATTGTTTCAATTGAATTATATGGGCAATGCAACACATAATGGATATGTTACACACAACATAGAAGGGATGGATATCCTGTTCTATTTTATTTTTTCCGAAAATGTGATATTATAAACTGTTCTAGTTAATAAAGCGGTGATTCAAACTCGATATTATAAAGAGACGGATATCCCACATTGATTAAATGTAGTGAGAAGAAGTGACTAAACATGTTATAATTTACTAATTATGATATATTCACATGTGTTGAAAAATCGTCAAGAACATGCACGTTTTTCGCCACATGCATGTATGACATTCCAATGTAGTCAAGGTCTAAATTAGGTTTCTCGGCCAACCTATTTCTCTAATGTTGCTTTATTAATAGTTCATATGATATTGAATATTCATTATAAATGGTTTTTAAAAAAAATCTGAATCCCAATTTAGAAGTCATTTTTAAAACAAAATCAATTAAATCGGAGTTCGTTTAAACTCTAATTTGCATATATAAAAATTATAAAATAAAATAAAATAAGAGAGAGAGGTTATATATTATGGGAAAGAATAGGTCCCACATAATATGTCGCGAGGTTATTGTGATAAAAAAACCAAACAAGCAACAAGGAACATGGAGTGATTGTTTTGTTTTTTGAGTTGAGGTTCACATAACATATGTAAAGTGGATATATCTAAATATAATTAAGCTTATAAAAATTTGTCACCTAATAGGCAGTCCCATGATCCCATCCCATCATTTAGGTTATTTATGTCAAATTAATATTATAATTCTTCCGTTTGCTTGCTTAACACATACTAGCCTTTTCGCACACGCTTCTGCGCCTGCGAGAGGTTTTTTTTTTAAATGTTAAATTTATTTTAGAATTAAAAAAGATAATGGGTAGTTGTGTTCCATAAAAATAGGATTCATTATTTGATTTTTCTTTTAATTTTAAATTTTTTAATATTAAAAAGTGTGAATTTACCATAGTATCCTCATTTAATTAATAATTTCAATTCTTAATGTTTGCATTAACCAAGGGCATTTTCTGGTATTTTGAATATTTCACCATTATGTCGGTGGACTGCTCGAGCTTTCTATCACTAATTTACTATAGTAAGGGAAAAACAAACCAAATTTAATAACAGCCCGGAAATCTCAGACAAACATCTCTCTCTCTCTCTCTCTCTCTCTCAGGTAAATCTTATAAAAAAAAATTTAAAAAAAGAGATAAACCAAAGAAAACAAAGAATTTCATAAATATAGATGTACACCATTTCAAGGACGCACGTAGTACAGCATCCTAAAAATTGAACAAAGATATTGCAAATTAAGTAACCAAATTTAAGTTTAAAAGTACAGATAGAAAGAAGAGGCAGAGTCGGGAGTTGAGGCCGGGCGAGAAACTAAACGAAGAGTATTGATGAGACCATCAAAACGGGCGCTACGCCACCGCCGCGGTGGTGGTGGCGGTAAGAGGTGCTCTGTCATCATCGAAAGCGCTGCTGTATATGCCTCTAACAGCTCTGCAACGAGGCCTACCCTTATCATTCTCTTCAGATTCCTTTCCTCCTCCACACACCAATTCAAAGCAGAGAAAGGAGAGCTTGGCGTTGGTAGGTGGCTAGCTTGATAGAATTTACAAGACACCCTTCCCCTTCAAAGCGTTCTGCCTTGTTATATACGTAGCTTTTTGTTGTTGTAACGTGTGGACTTTATTATTAGTTAGCCCCCATTGAATTCAAAATTCACGCTACATAATATATAATATAAGCAAGCTATGTCGCTAAGCTAGCCGGTGGCGTTTTTTTCAACTTTCTTTCTGGTATGTTCTATGATTACTCTTTGATTTTATGATAGAAATTACTATATGGGGAAGTTAATTAACTTGTTCAGCCCAACGGACTGTCACAGTGTGTGGGGTTCGGTCGGCTTACGCGTAAATAGTCATGATTAAAGTTGCTCAGCCCAACGTTTTGTTCGCCTTGTTATAAGACTTTTGTTTTCTTCTGTGTAATCAAGTCTTCAAACTCAGCTCTGCAACGAGGCCTACCCTTATCATTCTCTTCAGATTCCTTTCCTCCTCCACACACCAATTCAAAGCAGAGAAAGGAGAGCTTGGCGTTGGTAGGTGGCTAGCTTGATAGAATTTACAAGACACCCTTCCCCTTCAAAGCGTTCTGCCTTGTTATATACGTAGCTTTTTGTTGTTGTAACGTGTGGACTTTATTATTAGTTAGCCCCCATTGAATTCAAAATTCACGCTACATAATATATAATATAAGCAAGCTATGTCGCTAAGCTAGCCGGTGGCGTTTTTTTCAACTTTCTTTCTGGTATGTTCTATGATTACTCTTTGATTTTATGATAGAAATTACTATATGGGGAAGTTAATTAACTTGTTCAGCCCAACGGACTGTCACAGTGTGTGGGGTTTGGTCGGCTTACGCGTAAATAGTCATGATTAAAGTTGTTCAGGCCAACGTTTTGTTCGCCTTGTTATAAGACTTTTGTTTTCTTCTGTGTAATCAAGTCTTCAAACTTTTT